TCTGTTACACTGAAGGGGGACCAAAGAGAATGCCACCTGAGGTCTGGGGGAAGAACAGAAGTTACTGTTTATGACAGAAACTGACGACCCAAACCAGACCAATAAAACAAGCTCAGCATGAGAAAGGAGCAGGGAAACACAAGAACTCAAAAAGCAATAGCCCTTCATACCAAAATGAACTTGAGGCGAATCAAAGATTTCATGGAAACACTGCAGCCTTGGAAGCACTATAGATTTTACCCAGTCATTGAGTAATCATCTTCCCAAGCATAACGTGAAACCCCAAAGGACAAGACTGACAAGCTTGATGTAAATTTAAGCTGCCAGACAGACCAACTGAAACAGAGCACCAAGTTCAGAAACAGACCCAGATACAAAGTAAATTTCATAGCTAAAAGCTTATAAAGGCGGCACCTCAAACCAGGGAGGTAGAGATGAGCTTTCTGAGAAGTGGTGCTGGGAAAAAGATGTACTTGGAACCATAGTGCATACTAATCCAAGACAAACTTGTCAAGATAAAAGTATAAAAAGTAAGCCATAACAGTAACAGGAGAAAAAGAAAGAACTACAAGTAGCAGGTACACATTAAAAAAAAAAAAAAATTCAACCTTTCTCACGTTAAGAGAAATGTAAACTAAAACTACACTTGCTGACCATTTCTTCTCAAAATGATGAATACCCAAAAGTCAGAAACATACTTTGCTGGCAAAACTATGAGGAAATGGACACACTTTGATGCCTTGCTGAAGAGAGCATAAAATAGTAAAACCCCATTTGCATTTACCCAGCAACACAGAAATGCCTGTTATAGAAAATGAAATGGCATCTTTACAAGGTTTTTCACTACAACACTGCTTGTAACAGCAAACACAACACAACAGTCCTTCAATAAACCGAAGTGCTTATACACAATGGAATTACCATTCAGGTGTGCAAAAGCGGTACTCTCTCTACACAGACATGAATAGCCTTTTTAAATGTACTATTTACAGAAAAAAGCCAAAGTGTGGAATCACGTAAATAGTATGCTGTCTTTTGTTTTTTAAAAAGGAGGCAATAAGAATATACACTCATATTTGTCTGTACTTGTGATGCTAAAATACAAAGATATACAAGAAAGTAAAATATATGGTTACTTCAGAACGGAGCAAACAAAAGTGGGTGGCAGCAAGATGTCTCAATGTGTGACTCTATATTACTTTGATCTTCAAACTCTAAAAATGCAGTAATAAAAAATATTAAATTACAAAATAAAACCCACTAACTTACGATTAAAAAATTAAATTCGTTCATACACACACCAAGTTCTTTCTAGAAAACAAGTCCATTAAAGAATAAATGACAGGCCAGGCACAGTGGCTCATGCTTAAAATCCTAGCACTTTGTGGGGGCCAAGGTGGGCAAATCACTTGAGATCAGGAGTTTGAGACCAGCCTGACCAACATGGTAAAACCCCGTCTCTACTAAAAATACAAAAATAGTTGGATGTGGTGGTGGGTGCCTGTAATCCCAGCTACTTGGGAGGCTGAGGCAGGAGAATCGCCTGAACCCGGGAGGTGGAGGCTGCAGTGAGCTGAGATTCACCACTGCACTCCAGTCTGGATGACAGAGCCAGACTCTGTCTCAAAACAAACAAACTAGAATAAATGACATACTGAAAAAATACCAGAAATAAATAAGGCAAGGTTTATTTCTCAAGCTCTTTCTTTTCCATCAGAAAAGATGACAACCCAAAAGACAAATGAAGACAGGAACAAACAATTTGCAGAGAAAGAAACAGAAACAACTAACACCACACAAAGAAAAGATGTCCACATATAATTAAAGAAAGGCAAATAAAAACAATAAAATAGCATTTTCACCTGTCAGTTACTCTCACATGCTTTTGGGAAGACTATAAACTGGTGAAACCTTTATGGAGGGCAATTTGGCAACAGTTAACAAAACCTAAAGTGGCCATAGCCTTCAACCCAGGAATTACTGCCACCTCACCCCATGGCCACACTTGGACAAGTCCGTCCTGTATTTGTTCCGGCATGTTGCTTTGCAGCACTGTTTTCTATAACAAAAATAAACAACTCCAATGGGTAACAATGAGGGCCCTACTAAACAAATGATGGTACAGCCACATAACGCAGTACTACACAGGCATTAAAAAGAATGAGGGTTACTCTGTAAGTGTGAATACAGAAGATCACCAAGATGTGCCATTAGGTTTAAAAAAAAAGGGACCATCCTGGTTAACATGGTGAAACCCCGTCTCTACTAAAAATACAAAAAATTAGCTGGGCATGGTGGTGCGTGCCTGTAATCCCAGCTACTCAGGAAGTTGAGGCAGGAGAATTGCCTGAACCCAGGAGGCGGAGGTTGCGGTGAGCCGAGATCGAGCCATTGCACTCCAGCCTGGGTAACAAGAGCGAAACCCCAATCTTCGGAAGACAATACAAAAAAAAAAAAGGTGCACGAAAGTATACATAGTAGGACCCCCCCATGCGTAAAATGTGAGAGGGCCTGGAAGTGGGGGGACAGGGAGGAACACCTCGGCTTCTTTTTACATACTTTTGTCATTTTATATACATTTTTGCTGTTTGAATTTCAACTACGACTTAAAAAAAAAAAACACAAGAATTTAAACTATATCTTGGCAATCACTTGCTAAGCATCTACCAAAGAAAGTAGATTTTTAGTCTGGTCAACATTGCGAAACCCTGTCTCTAGTAAAAATACAAAAATTAGCTGGTTGTTGTGGTGGGCACCTGCAGTCCCAACTATTTGGGAGGCTGAGGCAGGAAGGAGAATCATTTGAACCCAGGAGGCAGACGTTGCAGTGAGCCGAAATCACGCCACTGCACTCCAGCCTGGGTGGCAGAGCAAGACCCTGCCAAAAAAGAATGAAAAAGGAAAGAAAGGAAAGAAAGGAAGGAAGAAAGGAAGAAAGAAAGAAAGAGAAAGAAAGAAGATTCTTTATCATGCATACATTGTTCTCCAATGTTTCTATGTAACAACAGGGATAGGGGCAATGAAGACAATTCTAACCAACAATATAAAACCGGCAGCAGCACCCTTGCATATCACCTCAAGCTGTATTTTCAAGCTAACAAGATATGAGACACGGGCTGCAAATCAAAGGGGTGCACATTTCTACAAGAGTCTGTATGTTCAAGATTCCATAAACAGCACAACCACCGCAACATGGCCCTGGAGAACAATCACGGTTCTGGATTCACTGCCGACTTCAACCTAGCTGGCTTCTTTGCAATTCCGTTTCCCCATCTGTAGAAGAATACGTGTGTGCACATTCGTGTGTGTGAATGGCAGGGAAAGACTATTAGATGATTTTAAAACGATATGAGTCTAACTTCAAAGTACTGTAATCTTTGAATAGGTATTTTGAAAAAAACTCATTGATAATTTGAAAAGTAGCAAACATGTTCAAGCTGCTCTTAGGGTATCCATCCAGGGTCTCAATAAACATATGAAATATTAATCATGCCACAGAAACAGCTTAGCTGAATTTCTATAGGCTGAAAAGGAAATCCATCAATAGTGTCTACTAACATCAAACCAACATCACATTGCTAAAGTAATTATATAAAATATAAAAGTATTTTCAAGGCCAGGCACAGTGGCTTATGCCCATAATGCTGGCACTTTGGGAGTCTGAAGCAGGTGGATAGCTTGAGTTCAGGAGTTCAAGACCAGTCTGGGCAACATGGCGAAACTCGGCCTCTTAAAAAAAAAAAAAAAAAAAAATCATTAAGATACAAGCAAAATATAAATAAGAA